TAAGTAACTTCTACGCGACGAAGATAATCGATATTTATGACGGGGTGCGGGGTTCTTGCAATGTCGTTTCGAGCTCAGAATTGTTGAGTCCAGAACGCTGTGATCAGAAATATCTAGCCAGCCACTTTTGCTCTGTTTTGGTGGACCCTGACGAACTAGTGCCTTAGATTCCATCACCGCATCGATGAGAGCGAAAGAGTAGACGATTGGAGGGTGCATCGGCGGCAGCGATGAAGCACTGAGTGATGGACAGCGAGGCGCGAGGAGAGAAGCAACCAGTCCGTCCGTCCACAGCGGCGGTAAAAATAACTTCGTTCGGAGGCGTGATTGCCACAGAGCGGCGCAGCTGCCTGAAGATCGAGCGGGACGCGGGCAATTCCTGGAAAACGTTGCCTCCTCGTCATCACCGGAATGCGGAGCAGAGGCTCAGCGCGGTAGAGAGCTGCCAATTCTTAGAAGAGTCGGCCGCCGACGTATTTAAGCGAGGGAGCGTGAGGTTAGCACTCACTTTTGCCAGTTGATCGTCGTCGAGAGGCGCTTGTGTCTGGTCTTCTCTTGTCTGGTCTGGTCGGTATCGGTAAAGAAGTAACGAAACATGTGCGACGAAGAAGTAGCTGCGTTGGTTGTGGACAATGGATCGGGGATGTGCAAGGCCGGCTTTGCCGGGGACGACGCTCCCAGGGCCGTCTTTCCGAGCATCGTTGGACGCCCTAGACATCAGGGCGTCATGGTAGGCATGGGTCAGAAGGACAGCTACGTAGGCGATGAGGCCCAAAGCAAAAGAGGTATCCTCACTCTGAAATACCCCATCGAACACGGCATTGTCACCAATTGGGACGATATGGAAAAGATCTGGCACCATACTTTCTATAATGAACTCAGAGTTGCCCCTGAAGAGCACCCGGTTCTTCTCACTGAAGCTCCCCTGAACCCGAAGGCCAACAGGGAAAAGATGACTCAGGTAATTGAACAGCATTTTATCTGTTGCATGGTATACTGTGATGTTATTCTGTAGTGTTAAATTGTAGAATAGTAAATGTAAAGGAGACGGCGAGTAAGGAGGTAAATAAACACTTTAAGTTGTAGTCGTCTTCCTTAAAACCGGATATGTGTTATTGAACTCTTGTCAAGTTTCGCCAAGAAATCGCTAATATCATGTAGCACCATCGTCTAAGTTACGTTTAAAGGGCATTTCTAAAATCCGCTGCAAAACCGATTTCTTATCTCAGTACGATCAACGATAATGCGGAAGAGCAAGTACAGCCAGATGCTGAAATTTCCTAGAATTTCGCCCTGGCAACAGCTGTGTTTAAATTCGCAAGAAACGCAGCATCCAGCATCGACGAGGCTGTCATGAATGATGGTGATTCGTGAGCATGCGCCAAACGTCAAGAAACGCGATCTGGTCGACGGCGGTGGAGGGGGAGAATTTCTCCTCTGCAAGTAAACAATTAAACAGCCGCAATAGCCTCCTTCAACTTTGCAATCAGCAGGGAATTGTGCAGTCACTGTCATATAGTGTCATCACATTCCATATATATTTGACGGATATGTTCTTTTCTATACATTTCTTATTTTTTATAAGGCATTAAAATTGAGATCGAACTTGAATCAGGGCTGAAACAGACGTTCCAACTTTAGAATGATTGATTGGTGTTTTATGAGCCTCGTTAAGTATTTTCGAACAAACGCGGAGGGGAGAGGAAGCTTCGACACAACTGCTGCAGTTTACCGCCCTCACGAAGTCAGCCAATTATTTAGCATAAGTGAGTCGGGTGAGCCGACCGTGTATTAGACATGCAAAGGCAAAGCTTTAGTAAGCTTAAGCCTCGTTTTGTCATTCTATGGTTCTGGCAAATCCTGTTCCTCCTCTTAGATGCCTTTGACAATACTTTTGAGGATGCAGTCATAAATAGATGCTAAATTGCAACATAAACAATATATGTCAGTGAAACGAGAAACTGTAATACAAAACGTGCAACGAACTTTTTTCTAATGATATATTTAGTTATATGACCCACTTGAATATAGAAATCATCTGTTGATGGCTGTAATTTAGGGTAATTTATTAAAATAATTGAAAAACAGTTCAGAGTCTGGGAAAACTCCATCCTCAACAAACTGGTACCTCAATTATTCTCGGCGCAACGAGACAGACAGATGGCAGTTTTTACTGGAACTGTCGACATTGCAGCCAAACTAAATTGGCCATTTTCAGGATAAACAATTGTCTGCTCTCATGATGGCCAGTGTTATTTGGTTGAAATGTTGACAGTTCTAGCAAACACTACGGTTGAAATGCTAGTTTATTAAAATAGAGGACAGAATTGAATGAGCTTCAGAAATCTTTTAGTCCGTCGTTTAAATATTTCATATTAATCTGTTAATATCAGTACTTCCTTAGTTTAATTCTTTCGGTGTTCTCAAGGGTGAACGATTTCTGCACCTTAGCGATCGTCTGAGAGAATTTCTTTGTTGATGATTGATACATGATAACATCAATGACTTTCTTCTTGCATGCCAGTTCCGTTCTTTGCTGTTCTTTAGTGTATAAATCTTTTCCTACCGGCTTGGTATCGACGAAGTTTCGAAATATGATTTGAGCTTCTTTTGCATACTTTACGGTTGGTATGAACTTCAGTGAAGTTCATAAGAGTGAAAATTTGGCACGATAATCGTCATCTTTAGTCATGCGACTGAACTGCCACCATTTCATAATTCATGACGTTCGTGATGACAGGCTTCTAATCAAAAATGTTTCAGTCAGCGTGAATGGCGACTATCGTTGCATAATAACCGTTTGATAAACGGGTATTAGCGCGAAATCATTTTCATAGCCTTGAAGTGCCCATCTTTCAAAGTGCTATGTAAAAATATGGCTTTAAAATTCTAGTATACGATAAATTCATATAACATGTTGACATACGCACGGGTTTGTAAAACTGATTTTCAGATCATGTTCGAAACCTTCAACACGCCCGCTATGTATGTTGCCATCCAGGCGGTGCTGTCTCTGTATGCAAGCGGTCGTACTACCGGCGTAGTTTTGGATAGCGGCGATGGAGTCACCCACACGGTGCCCATCTACGAGGGTTATGCTCTGCCACACGCGATCTTGCGTCTTGACTTGGCAGGCCGTGATCTGACCGACTACTTGATGAAGATCCTGACAGAGCGTGGTTATTCATTCACGACCACGGCAGAGCGAGAAATCGTGCGAGACATCAAGGAGAAGCTGTGCTACGTAGCCTTAGACTTCGAGCAGGAGATGGCGACCGCGGCATCC